GATAGGCTTTCATTATATTGGCAAGGCTTTAAAATTAAATTTTTTTACCAGATGGTGCCATTTTTTCAGGTTTGACCTATAAAGAAAATACTTGCTTTATTTCTGTTTCTGCATATTATAGAGCCAATTGGATAAATAATGCAGCTATAATTGTGTGGGTGTGTTGGTTTGGATGTCAGAGTGTGGTTTGTATGCGTGTCATAAAAACAAATTGTGTGTGTGTTCTTGTAATATTTGAGAGAGAAAAACTCTACTGCAAATCACAAATCCAACCACTGTGTGCACCAGTGGAGTTTTGCTGGCATCTAATGGGGAAAATTTGGTACTGCGCCCAAACAAAAGAATACAACTTGTTTAGATTTATGGCTTTGATTTTCTAGCAGGTTTAGAGTTCAACATGTTTCATAAAATATATATTTTATATAAAACATCGTTCATAAATCATTTTCATAAACCTAAACATCTAGAACTTTTTTTTTGGTGTCACTTTTTAAACTTTTTTTACTTCAACAATAATCTGCCATGGGTCTTCTTTAAAATGAGACCAAACTTAACTCTGTGCTCCCAAGCTTCAAATTTTTATGACAGTTTTTTGACATGGACATTTTTGTCCACTATGGACCTATGTGTAACTTTTTTTAAATTGACACACAAGGGTTAATTGCTGATATGTCACACAGTCCCTATAAGTCAGTTGCGATATATGTATCGTTTATACTCGTGACATGATTCTAAACAGTGCTTTGTAGGTTTGAGACTGTATTTTTTCACTCTCTCTTGTTGTTGTTTCCTCGTCCTTTCTGTATTTCTCATTTCAGTTTTAGCAGCCGTCAGTTATGTCGCGTTTTTTCGCCACCGGATCCGACAGTGAGTCGGAGGAATCCTCGTCCGCGGATGAAATCACCCCCAAAGCGACCGGGACTACTTTCAGTAAGCAGTAAGTTGTTTTTCTGATAGTGTACATTCTAACAAAATACTCTGTGCAGTGTTGCCTTGGCATTGAAAAACAACAACGAAAAAGTTAGAATTTGACTGCTTTCTTTCTTCTGACTCTAACATCCATCTGTATTTTTTTTTCTTTTGGAACGTTGTGTAAACTACACCTATAGCACAAGTACATCACGGAGACGTCTGCATTTACATCTGCAAGACGTATTTTTTTAGTGTTTGCTCGTCTGCAATACGTCTATAGGACGTTTCCTATTAGATGTCAAATAAACGTTTAGAAGATGTTTATGATTTAGAGTGTAAAACTGACATCTTAGAGACGTCTATCAGATGTTTGTACACCGCAGATGCTTTCCAGGTGAAGCGATCTTTAACAGACATCTTGCAGACGTACCTGTGCTATCTGGGTAGAGTTTGACTGATTTTGATTTGCCAATACGGATAACTAAAATTGTAAAATATGACTGGTAACTACCGTATTGGCCCGAATATAAGACAGCCCCCCTTTTTCCAGGTGTACCTTTTGGAAAAAGGCTTTTTAAAAACCAAATCTGTTTTTTTCTCAGTAAAACACATTTTGTCTTCAATTATTTTCATATTGCATATTTTTCCTATTTTAATTTTTGTTTTGAAAGTATGGTAAAAACTGGTAAAATGTACCAACAATCACATTTTAAAAATATACACTTTTTGATATACCATTAAAAAAAAATAAACA